AGTTCAAAGGAACTGTCAGAAAATCAAGAGTAAAAAAGTTATTTGAGATACGAGTACCATATTTTACAGACTATAAGTTGCACTTTTTTTCATCCTTTGTTGGGTTTGCAACTTATACTCAGGTACGACATGTATTAAAATACATACATTTGAATGTTTGTAATTTTCACACTGACAGCCACTAGAGGACACTCTAGCTGGCTGGTGCGACTCATACTTCGGAGAGACTTATAGTCTGGAAAATACAGTATCTCGTGGGGAGCTGACAGAACAACTGATTGCTGTGTTTATATATTAGTAAAAGCTCTGACCGTAATGTTCAGAATTTACAATGTGTCGATGACGTCATTACACAACTCGGCCTTAACTTTATTGTCAGATTAGTCAATGTGCAAAAATTTAAAGTCATTATTGTCTACTGTATAGCACTTTTACCATGACATTCATGTGTACCATTTTCTTGTCGTGCCAGAATCAACGCAGATGCATGGTTCTGTCAGACCCTCTCTGCCAACTCAACACCAAACCCAGAACTCCGGTCACATGCAGCCGCTGCTGGACCAGCCCATGTCCCAGGCTGCCTCTTCCATGCCTGTCTCCTTGCACAGCAGCTTACAGAACACCCTCCAGGCACAAATTCAGTCCAGCTTAGATAATGCCCTGCAAAGCAGTCTGCAAAATGCAATGCAGACTGACACGCAAACTTCCCTGCAGTCAACGCTGCAGGCCTCCATAGAGACTAGCTTGCCAACCCCAATGCAGACCAGTCTAGAGTCAGAGATGCAAAGCCTACAGAATCAACTGGAGGCGTCCATCTCTGCAGCATCGAACATGGATAAAATCGAGGACCTACTGGAAAGTCTACAGAAGTCATGATTATTTGGACAATGTGGTCATCAGAGATAGTGAGTTATATGTAGCTAAAATGTATTCATTTGATATCCATCCATCCATTCATCCATCCTATATCACTTATAACCGTCCAGTCCAGGGTCATGAGAGAAGCTGGAGCCATTGCCAGCAGAAGGTGAGGTAAACCGGGTTTACAGAGTTCACCAGTTCATCGCTGGGCCACATATTTAGAGACATTCATAATCACGGAGACCATTCACACTCACATTCACACCCTCGGTCAATTAAGAGAGTTCAGTTAACCCAAATCTCAAACTGAGGGAGGAAACCAAAGTACCCAGAGAAAACCCACAGCATCAGTTAAGCCGGTGATCTTCTTGCTGTAAGGCAAGAGTGCTGACCGCCATGCCACTGTGTGGCCTCGCGTTTGATAGAGAATAAAAAATTAAAATGAGACAGAATCATGCCTTGATGGTGATATCTGTATCTACGACATTTGGTATAGAAACCACATGCCGCACATAATCCGTTTTTCTCAGTACACAAATTAGGAGCGAACTCTGTTTAAGTGACATTTTTATTTTGTTTTCTGTTTTTTTTTTTGTAGAGCCAATATCCATTCATTGTTGAATTTGTGTGTTTGTTACTGCCCCTCCTGTAGGATCAAAGAGTTTGTCAATCAATCTCAGAAATGCAGTGTTTACTCATCTGAGTACTTTGAAATAATGTGAGCCTAAAAGAAGATTGAAGATGCAGGATGATGCAAGGTGGTCAGTTTTAGTGGGGAAAAAAATTAGAAAAGGATTGAATGTCAACAATGAATTGGAAGGAATAGTAGAAATGTGACAGAGATGAGGCTGTAAGACTGGACAGACCAGATGAAACAAGCAGCAGCAGACTGAAAAATGACACTGCACACTTTAGGTTGAATCTCATTTTGTGACTGTTTCAACTCACCTTCTGCAGATACGCACATGGTGAAGTGTGAGTATTTCGTACGTGGATATGTGAGGGAAGCTGTAAATCAGGAGGAGGACGAAGGACTTTTACGTAACATTTATTTCCCTTCTCTGGTGTTTAAATTAAGCCGACCCTTTACATACAGTAGCCATGGGGACTTAAGTTATATCGTGGGAGAAAAGAAAGTTGAAGATGTAAGGGTTATTTTTAGTATGTCCCTGATTCTTCCGAATAGAAACCAAGGGCAGAGGGACAAAAGGTTTTAGCTACAGAGACGAAAAGGAACTCCTGATGAGATCAAAGTGATGTTTTCTGCTCAGTCTTCCCCATCGAAGTCTATAGAGAATGACAGCCAGCAGCCGATTGCTGTTCCAGTATAGGGTCAGAAGGCAAGGAAAGTATAAATATTTGAGGTCAATTAACATTGTCCTGGAAAATTTTCAGTTAAGGCCCTTGTCAAAAGACTGTGGCGACTGACTAATGGCTGGTACCTGGTTACGGGCTACTTCATTGAGTCATTATAGATGCATCCAGGCTTCAAATAGGTTAAGATTATGTGACTTGATGGCTGTGTCTGTGCCCTACGGACAGTCACTAGTTAAGGTCAACAGTTTAAAAAGGAGAACTGCTGTAATTCATAGAAGTAACACTTCACCTCCTCATTAGGTTAAATATATGCTTTAAAATGCATCACATTAAACACATGCCTTGGCTTCATTTCCTTGAATTAGAGTAATTTGCCCTCTGGAAACACACGATATGGAAGAGTGAGCAGTTTACAAAACATTATTTTATCTCAAGTTTTGAAAAGATGTTAAAAAAAAAAGTGATGCCTTCGAACATCGTGCATATTTAGGATGTTAAGACACCGCAGCAGACTATAGACAGAGAAGAGCTGAATGTGAAATTCAAAAAGTCCACAGCGCCGAAAGGTGAGGCTGTTAGACACTCACACATGAGATTCAACGTGAATGGAAAAGAAAATGTGACTTAGCCTTTTGTGGCCTTCTTGGCACCACTCAGTGTTTCTGTCGTGTCTAAGCCTCGTCAGCTTCCTCTCTCAGATTTTGAGAAGCGTTTTAAGCAAGTCTATCTTTTTGTTTTAGAGAAGTTTGGTGTCTTTTACTAATGTAATATGGAGAGAGGGAGAAACGTCCACTTGTGATGAATGGAGTGTTGTGTTTTTAAACCCATTTTATAGCAAGCACTTTATAACCTGTTTTCCTGTAACCAGCCGAACCATGTCCAATCACAGCTCTTTACTCACCTGACTGAATTTCTACTTTGATTTAGTTACAACAAAGAGACAGACACATGGGGGAAAAACCAAAATTTAAAATGCCACAATTATTGTCTTTGTAAGATGAAAAGCATGTGACAAGCATTTGGCATTTTCTGGTGTTGGAATATTTTGGAGATCTTGGACATGGGTGTGCAGGTGAAGCCCTCTTCCTGTTCAGTCTGAGTGGTCCAGTTTGAATCTGTTCAAAATAGCCATTCCCACAGAAGCATCGTCAGCATCGCCCTTTGTGTTCCTGACACTTGAGGGAAAACAGGAGTCTTTTGTTCATGTAGACTGTTCAAAGTAATGAAGGATTTCAATGTGATGTTTATTCTGTAACCCGGCAACTGTTTTTACTTTGTGTTGTGTCGAATAGTTAGGTTTCTGTGTGGGTGTCGGTTGCCCGTACAGGCTGGCACAGATTTGACATTGGCACTCAGTTTCCATCCTCTGCTAAATGAAATCTCTGTTACATAGAGGCTGCCATTTTGATTTTGCCTCTAACGCCATGATCAGGAGGCACTCCTGATGGGAAGTTGGTACTGTTGTTACCATTTTATACTTTTGTTGATGTCTTGGTTGGTCAATGCAAGGTGGAGTCCTGAGCACTGGCTGAGGTTCTGGGGGTCAAGACTGGGGAGCATTCGCTCAGGTCAGGCTAAAGTCCGCTAGTGAAAAGTGTTTGAAAAAAAAAAACACAAAAAAAAAACCCTTGTTATATTTTCTCCTTTAACTCACTCATGAACTTGAAATAACCCAGTTTTTAACACAGACACCACTTTGACATACTATCAAATACATTTCGAACAGATCTTTGAAGGTACTCTGCTGTGTTCACGTAACATTTCCGTTTGTTTTTTACATTTCTCATAACATGGCTCTATTTTTGATGCATAGTAACACTGCTGTATTTTCCATATTGGCTTTAGCCAAAAGTCCAGTTTTGTAGAGTATGAATAACTGATTAGAAGTATTGTTGCTCACACATTTCTGCTGACATTTTTCATAGTCACCACCGTTGTCTTACGGCATAGTGATACATTTTAAAGTAACTTATCTTTTTAAGGATTTTTTATCCACATATCAAAATGTAGAGTATTTTTGTAAAAATGAAGGGTTTAGCACAGAATATCATCGCTGGTGTGTTTTTTCTTCCAGAAAATTCGGTGACAGATTGTCAATAAGTATGACTGAAACTGGAAATGTAATTGAATCGGCCTGAAGGAGAAAAACAAAACAAATGCTAGAATCCGATTAGACTGTTAATACAGTAACTGTAACATCGACGTTAACCGGTTTGTACGTTTTGTGGGTTCTTGTACGTGTGTTTTCAGCGTCATGCATCTCGGCAACACCTTGACTCCATCCATTTAACTGTAGATCAGGCGAGAGCACGGTCGTGGTGAAGCATTCCATTCTTCTTGGATACGAGATTTAAAAGCACATAACGTTGCAGAGGAAGTGCAGAAACAGCAAAGCCCGATAGAGACACAGCAGAGCCGCCTGTGACTTCACTTTCATGAATGTAAATGTTACCTCATGGTGTGGATGTAGAGGTCACTCTGCGTCCGACATCGGACCAATTCGATGAATATATATGATATTTAGAGGTGTAGAGGGAGATGTGGGTGAGAGGCAGGGAGGGAGGGAGAACACTGTGTGTCATTTCTGTCCCTAACATTTGACAGATTTTTCAGATTGGCATCATTTCACACCCTAACATCCGGTACTTTCACTCAGAGAGATCAAGGACACTCGATCTGACTCTCGGAACCTTCCACCAGACGCAGCCATTACTGTAATGGTGGTGAAGACAGCACATAACATCTTTACTCAAGATCAATTCTCAGCCCTCCAGTCGTGTGGACGAATATCCTCTCGTATTCAAATGTGAACTATACTGCAGGGGTATCTTATATTTGAATTTGTGATTGCTTTCAACAGAACGTCGTGTGCCTTGATTACTTCGCCGTTACTCCGCTGTGTTCGCTGATGTTTCGTCACCGCTATCCCACTCCACTCCCTTTTGTTTTCTCCAAAATTAGTATCACTAGTGTCTTCTCCACAGCAAACACACACACACACACATACCAGGATACTTTAGCGATAATATTCTGTCTTTAGAAATCAACATCAAGATTACACAGAAAATACTCCATACATACATGTTGTGCCGCTTGTTTCACCTTGTTTTTTGTGTTGAATATGCTTTAGTTTTTTTTTTACCCCCACCCACGCCTGGTGAGATTTATAGATGTGAAAAAGGAGACGTCCATGAGAAGATGGGTTTTCATCGAGTGCTTTCTTGTGTTGATGTGCTTGTTGACATTACTGTTGTTGCTGTGAAACGCTTGATCAGAGAAAAACTCTACTTTTTAACTGTTAATTGCCAACCATGTGAGCTATATCTCTCGTGTAATCGTTTCGCTCACCCTTCCTAGTTTGCATCCTATTTCGTGTACTCTCGACAGTTCTCTTTTATCCATTTGCCGTAGTTTGGGCTTTTAAATATCTTAGCCTTAAGACCCCGCAGTAGGGACAAAAGGTCAAACCTGGTGTGTTATCATACATTCAAACTATTAACATGTACTTTGCCTTGTTATTGACATTTGTATACTCTTCTGTTTATATCTGTAATCCTGCTGCTACATTAATAAAATAAAAAATCAAACGTCTTTCCTCTCATCTGTTCTAAAGACTTTTCTGAGTCCACTGTTTCTAGTTTGGGGAGGGATTCTAGGAACCCCTAATACAACTATAAAACTGACATAAGATTTGACACTTGGGAATGATGGTAAATGATTTTGTGACGAGGCTGATTGGTCATTTGTCCCTGGTAGTAAACCATACAATTTTATTTCACTACATGCAAATTCCTTTTAATTTATTTTCTTATTTCTTCATCATCTGGTGCAAACATAACACTTTGGAAAAAAAATAATGAATTGTGGACAGGTAGAAACATATGTTTCTTCAATGTAACTTAAAGTACTAGTATGCTCTGTAAAACTGTAAATTGCACCATCAGTGGCAGAAACCTAAAAAATAATATATTTATATATATTCGTATTGCTGTAAACAGGTTCTTTGTGAAAACATTGCATATGATAGATGAATACAGTAAACAATCCAAATCTTTGTTTTTTACGCAAAGGAGGAGACTGGCATTTTAGGTAACAGTACAACACTGTCCTCCCAGATAAAGTAACAAACGCACTTAAATTAAAATAAAAAGTATAATAAATTACAACAAACAAAATATGTTCTATATTTAAAACTAACTTATGAATAGCTGCAAAATAAATCCACTCTGATCTATTTACATTTACAACATACAACTAAAATGTTTTGTTTTTTGGTTTCTTGGGTAAAAAAAAAATACAAATAAAAAAAAGAAACAGCAAAGCCGAGGAGGTTCGTCACAGTTGTCATTCAAATATGCAGCAGTGGCTTCTGCAGCGTACATCTGCTCACACTCTGTACTTCTCCTTGGCTTGGTCGTTCAGGACGCAGATGTGCTGCAATAAAGGAAAACGGAGAGCATTAGATTTATGGCGAGTTCTGTTGTGTCATCAAGAGCAGGAGTTCGATTTAAAACAATTGGGACAGGTTTATTAAAATGATAGAAAAGTGGATTTCTCTAATGTATTCTAAAATGACAGGTCAGCTTTGAGCTTGAGGTAGAGCAGTGGTTCTGAGGTAGAGGGCGCAGAGCTATTTTAGCTATTTTAGTGGGAGCGCAGCAGGAAAATGTATTTAATTTGAAAACCTGATAACGTAATTGCCTGGGCTTCACCAAATGATGTGTGCTCTGATAATAGTATTGGAGAGAAACGGCAGCATTGCAGCTCATTGTATTAATCAATTTTAATATTCAGGAAATTGTATGCAAAATGCTGGTCCCAGCAACTCATGCAGTGGTTAGTAAAGATAAATAAATAAATATTACCAAGTCTATATCGGTATCAGTTGATATCGGAATTAAAAATTAGTTGTTTGGACAATATCGGCAAAAGTCAATATTGGACATCCCTATTCATATTTTCTCAGCCCCTATCAGTCAGGAGCCCTTGGGATTCTAAAACCACCCCCACCTACATCCCACTGGGTGCAGAGCAGAAAAAAAATCTGGATCAAAGCGACTGCTTTTGTTATGCCAGTACTACATCGGAAGTACATTGACTGAGTTAATGCACAGGACCATACTGAACTGTGATGGGGTAAATTCCTTCTGACTGACATTTCACTGACAGCAGTTGAACCAGAGCAAACTTACGCTGAGATCCCTGAAGTACTCGTTATAATCCAGAGCGTAGCCCACGAGAAAGGTATCTGGTACCTCGAAGCCGAAGTCTAAAAATCAGTATGGATAATTTCATAGTAAGATTTCAAAAGAAAACATTCAATTACAGCAGAGATTACAAGTTGGGAAAACAAAGATTCTAAAACAGTGAGAGTAGAAGAAGTGACCGCCCACTAAGTTGTTTAGACAGTCACTACTTCAGAGTGGAAAGTCAAAGGGAGAATCCTAAAGAGATTAACCATCTCAAAGCTAAAAGCATTGCATAATCAGAGTCAGTGGGAGTGAGAGATTATCGGGCGTGCTTCGGTGATTTAGTGCTTAACTGTCACAAATGTTAATCCTGCAGTAAAAAGAACAACTTAAAAAAAATAATTTACAATTCAACAGATGACAGTTCTTGTTAAAAGGCGTAGATACTCACAGTCTGGTCTGTAGCCTGTGCTGCGCAGTGTCCTCTTCACCAAAAGGCTTTAACAAAAAAAAAAAAAAAAGGTTGATCTTCTATTTGGACAAAAGTTGATGTATTCCAATTGTATAAACACACACACACACACACACACACACACACGTACTGTATATACAGGGGGGTTCTCAACTTACATTGGAGTTCCGTTCCTACAATGTGATGTAACTCGATTTTCACAGTTAGGAACTCACATACTGTACATTAGTACCTATGTCACTCACCTAGGACATAAAAACATCAGAAGAGTCTGACTTATGCTTGTGTGCCACAATGAAAGGCAAAAAACTAGCTCCCATGCAAACTTGTTGACGAGTTTTAACGTTAAACTTTGGAATGATTGAACAAGACTTTCTTAATAATTTCTTGGGAGATGGCAATGTAAACCACGAAACGGCATAGGTCCAGGAGTAAACCGAGGCCCTCCTGTATATACATGTTAAAACACACAGACGACACATTGCAGAGTGTTCTGTTCGGTCAATCATGTTGTGATGCCGACCTTACAACTTTAACCATCTTGGGACTACTTTTACCCAGTAAGGACAGTAGTGTTTGCATCGTCTTCCCCGTCTCAACAATATCCTGTGAACATAGTGGTAGAGGAGTGAATTACAGTAGCATGGGGGCTTGAACAAAAAAAGAAACTCAACCAGGATGGAGCTGCAGTTTATCTCTTTGACTTTCTGTTAAATACATAATAACAATTCTGTTAAATAGGGGTCTACAAAAGATATTACTTTTTTTAAATATTAACTAATCAATTGCTTTGTTTTGGGCAAAATTTAAAAATATATTCAAAAGAAGTACTAGTTTTATGAACCAAAGTGCGGGTTTGGTTTGTTAACATTTAAAACTAATAGATACCTGAGTCCCTGAGCTGACTCAGGTATCTATTAGTTCCTGGGATTTCAGCATACCCATCAAAACAGCACATAACTGCACTGCACCATTGTTTGAAGCGGGCCCTGCATTGAGTGTCACACATATTACACCCACAAATCATATTACTTATAATAATGAACTTGTGTTTGCTCTCGGTAAAAAATACCATTCTTTTCAAACTTTTTTAAATAAATAATAAATAAATAACCTTATCCTTTAAATGGTTGTTTGGAAAACGCTTCTGTAAAAAGATTACGTTTTGGGTTGAATGCTTTAAACTGTGGATTGATGATACCGGCTGTAAATGGCGAGTGTCAAGATGGCGCCGGTGAGTGGCCTGTCTATCACTGACTGAGTTGTGCGTATTTGCGATGTTCTTGTCGCTACTAATGTCGACCCACTGCTGGTGTATAGTCGCTAAGCACTGCTGGAACTTCAATGTCCTGCCGAAGATTTGGTACATTTCGTTTGTGGTGGACGTGGGACGAGGTGGACTAACCTCGGGGACCCACCAGAGATTACTCGGTAAATGGCAGCTCGCTGGCAAACCAGGATTTCTTCACATCAGGAAGATTAGACTTCCACTGTATTTCCGAGACTTGGACAGGTGTTGGTGAGTCCAGTGCTCTCACCGAACTTTTGGCTCATTTCAATTCCCCGCGGATGTCAGTCCGAGGAGGAGGAACTTCGGCTGTTTTCAAGATTCATTATAAAGGTAAGCAGCAGTCATCATGGTCGTTTACTAGCTTTGAACCGAGTTTATTTGAGTTGCTTTGCCGTCACACAGTGCGGTGTGCAGTCATCTTTCGGCCGCCCAAAGAGTTTGCGAATGATTTTTGCTGGCAGAGTTTATGCCTAAACATGATGGCGTTCTTATCGTTGGGTGTTTTAATATACACGTATGTTGTCCTGATAAGCCAATGACAACCGATGTTCTTTATCTTCATGACTCATATAATTTTGTGCATTCAGTGTCCGGTCCTATATATGAACGCGGATACACACCGGATCTTGTTTATCATATGGGTTGCAAGTTCTTAACTTAGAAATGTGTGATGCAGTGTTTTGGGAACATGTCCCTGTTGCTCTTGACTGTGCTACAGTTAAATCTGGCGCTGGTGTTTGACGCTGCAGTATCATTAACCCTTCCACTGCTGTTCAGTTCTCCGCCGTTTACAGAGAAAACTCTTGGTGTGTCATTTTATGTCTGTTTAATAGTATTATGTTTTTATGTACATGTATCTGTACTCTTTGGTCCACTGCTGGACGATTTAAAGTGATCAACAAATGAAATTGGATGGGATACCATTGGTTTACAAACGTTGTACAGTGTAATTATAATTTCATAACGAATAGCTATTTTGAACACTGTCACTTATAAAACTAAACATCCTTCTACAATTGTGCATCCTTAGCCTTAAGACATGATAAACTATCATCTTATTGCATTATTGTGCTGCTGCACTTCATTAACTATCTCTCATCAGTCTGTCCTCCTCTGTTACTCAGCTGTTTGAATTAGTCTTTCTAGGCAACTGTACAAACTGTCTCTAATACATTTTGTGCTAAGTCTTCTGCTTGGCTTTCACCACTGCTCTCTAAGCCTAAGTACTCTAACCTCAGTACGTCTGTCTACATCTATCTGATTGGAATAGTCTCCTGTACTTCCTAATGCTACACACTGCGCTTCTTGTCCCCTCTCAACCAAAACGCCTCACTTTGCTGCACTTTCCATACCACCACTATTTCCTTTACTGAAATATTTGTAACATTGGCCACTCTTTGGTTTTCACCGTCATCACTTAAGCCTGGTCATTTTTAGTAACCCAAAGCCAAAAAAAGTGTGGACAGCCCTGTTCTATTTCATATATTTTTTAATATACATTTTCCCTAAGGACTGCCACATACATAGAAGACAAAAAAAAGTCTTACCTCTACGATCAAAACATTCTAGAAAATAAAAAAGAAGAACAGTTAAGATCAAGTATTCATTCGCATCAGTGTGTTCCCTCCCTGACGTACAAACACCAACCTTGCCTTCCAGACTGGACAGCTCATCTCCTCCAATGACTTTGACCTTATTTGTTGACTTGTCATTCTAAGACAAAGAGAAGATGATATAACAATTCCAAGTTTGATTACAGCACAAGTGAACCTCTCCTAGCCTTGCATGGCTTAAGTGACAGACTGACTTTTTTTTTCAAATCTACATTTAATATTAAACAGGGCTGCAGTAGCGTGCTGAGTTCTCACAGCAGTCAATATGTGATTGGAGCTCAAAATAATTCTTCTTTCTACTTTGCCAAGTCCACATCCAGTAATACACATCACATCAGTTCCTGGAAATGAAATGAAAGAGGGTAGCTTACACAGTAGCTCTTCACCCTAATGAAATCCACAGTGAGTGGGACTGATTTATCACTGTTCTGGTTCAGTGCCTTTATGTAGTCCAGGAGGTCTGCAAAGAACTTATAGCCGCCTTTTAGCACACACAGTGCCACTATGTGGTGTCCTCCCATGTCCTGGATTATGTCTCGGGCAAGACGCTCTGTCCTGGACAAGATAGGAGACGAACATGTGTGCGTCATACATTAGAATTCAAAAGTCCATGCAGTAATGTACCGTATTTTCCGGACTACTACTATCACTAATCATGAATATAAGTCGCACCAGCCAAAGGATGAAAAAAGTGCGACTTACGGGAGTAGCAGATAATTGTGGACAAGACTAAAGTGCCCTCTAGCAGCTATCAGTGTGAAAATAACAAACTTTTCAAAATTTTCAGTGCTACTTCCTGGCATTTCTTCTAATTCACTTTTTCTGTCAAATAAAAAAAAAAACAGTTCACTGATCATGCATAACAGCTAGTATGGAATTTTTTGGTATGTTTATTGGCATATGATATATTCGTATTAAATCATCAATACAAAAATGCATATTTTTTATACCATTAAATCAGCATTTTATATGTACTTCAGGAAACAACCTTACTGTAAAAAAGCCGCAATCTGGCGGCACAGCAGTTTTGGCACAACTTGATTTGACCAGCAAGTTTGAGTCACTATTGATGTCTGGCAGCAAGAGCTCTGGATGTATTTTTTAAAAAACAATAGATCTTGTATGATAGGTACTGCAAGCACAATGCACTTTCCATGAAGTAATACAATGTGTCTTCAGTTTGTAATTATAATGTATGGATAAGGAGTCCATTATACAGAGTTGTGACTAAGCTTCACTGATCTGACCTTTGATAATTTATAATGATTTATAAATGACTGATCTGAGCTGGTGGTAAATAACATTCACAGGAGTAAAGGCTGAGGTCATTCTATTCTATGCTGGGGACTAGCGCTGACTACATGCTTTTCTCTTAGACTACACACCTCTGATGTCATAACGTATCTTAATTTATACTTCAGATCTTGTACAAAAATTGTGCTGTGTGACAGAAAAAGCTTTTTATTTACTATTTAAAAATTGTGTCTCTTAGGACATTCACATTTCTTAGCATGTCGTGCTTCCGTCATTGCCATGCACTCAAGTACAGAGTTTTTGTTCTTTTAAAAATACAATTATCCAACACTGCAAATTCTCCTATGTCGATCACAGCTGACCTTTGCTGACTGTTAAAGCCAGGCTTACAATGCGGTATACTACACCGCACTAGCCATCAAACTACGCCCTCTAAAAGCAATTCAAATGTGTGGACAAATGCGTGCTTGAGTGATTTGTTAGTGTAATTTTGTACAGAGAAATGTATCTGAGGTGAAGAATAAAAAAGTGTACATGATAACAGGTGTCGGGGAAGCTGCTACAGACTGCCTTACCTGTCCATGATGAGTCCATGAGGGATGATCACCTTGTCTAGATCGTTTTCATAATGTCTGGGGATGCAGAAGAGCTCCAGTTCGTAGCCTTTCTCGTCATCAGCGATCTGGATTAGGGAACATAGCACCAGTTAGAGTGGTTACTACTAACAGATAATCGATTAGAGTGAGCCACATGCCCATAGCAACACTAACCTCTCAACCACCTGTTTATGTAAACACACACACGCGGATGAGAGGGATGACGGGGGTGAACACACACACACACACACACACACATCACACGCTGATGAGGCAGTACTAGTGAAAGACTGTGATGAGGGCAGCCGTTTACACCTGCTGTGATGTGCTGTGTTTAAACAGGCCCGCCGACAGAAACACTGCACAGCCACACCCAGATAAGTGAGCAACTTATCATCACTACGAGCAAACAAATCACAAAGAACCGTCACTGTCTCACCTGGAGAAAAGAAGCCATGTTTCCGCCGGTGTTCCGCTTCTCTCGGGGGCGAGGACCTGTCTAAGGAGTCATAGTGAAGTCCCGGAGAGCTAAGGAGAGGTGTTGAGAGGCAGGGACAGGAGAGAAGTGCCGCACGAGCGGCGCCCCACTGCATTAGATACGTACACTTCGCTCTGCGCGAGCGAAACGAAGCGGCAGCGCTAGACGCCGCCTAATTTACTACTAAGAGCTGTCGTTTAAGTGGACGCTTGAGCGAAGGCGGTGAGCGAACCCGAGCGAATGAACAAGAAACGCTCGTCTTGTTGCGAGTGTTTGGCAGGATAAAGCCGTTACGTCACACGTGAAAATCCCTCCGTAATAATCTGATTTGTCCCACGAGGGCCTGCTTACAACTAGAACTACTATCGAGAGCTTTTTAGCAGCAACGGGGAGAAAGCTTGTTACAGAAGATGACGTTGTTAAAATCTAACGGCCGACAGCTCCGCCCACCCTTCGAAGAGAGCCACAAGGTAACGTAGATGACGTAACATTATGCGTGTTGTATTTATCGGCGATTTTTGATGACAATTAAAGGTCTTTGTTTGTCTTTGATGGATCCTCCGATGGTAATGAATATGACTTCCTGAGATTTCACTTTGCTTTTTTTTATTCAATTTTTTCACACATTTTATAGTAACATGGATGTCTTTATAAGTTTAGCAATACATTTAAAATATATATAATTTAGTAACAGTTAATGAGCAAAAACTCCACTACTTTCTCCAATGTAATAAAACAAATTTGGTAGAATTTTGGTTAACATTGAGAATATAAATGACATGGCAGTCAACTTCCTTGTTTGCATGAAAGCATTTGGCAAATACCGTACTGTATTGTAATGTACTCTAAATGCTTACGTGGTTAACTTTCTGAGATACATATATATATGTCTGTTTTTAAATAAAAATCCCCCTAAATGGTTTCTTTTGAAAATGTATTTCACTAAATATTTTTTTCTATTGCATGTGGCCCAGTAAAGATTAGTTGCCTGTTGTACAGGAACTCAGCTCCAGATTAAATATGTACCTTTACAACAGACCCAGCAGATGGCAGTATTGAAACTCACAGCCCAAAGAACAAGCTGCGTGAGCCTGGTCTAACAGATGAAAGCTTTCGTATACACAAATGACGTGAAAACAAACACTACATACATGCTAGAATACCACTGAGAAAGTACACAGTAGTATCCCCTAGGGTGCTAAGTATTTATAGCTGCCAGGAATTCTGGGCCCTAAACTTCAAAACATGTATATTTCTACATACTATGAATAATTCACTATTATCATTTTTTATTCTAATTAAGTTCACAGTGCATAATCATTTAACATGTAGATGTAATATTCTTGTTTTTTTGGGCCCCTATCAGTCAGAAGCTCTGTTGTCCTAACCCCCTGCAGCGCCACCCACAGTCAAGAAAGGAAATGTACCATTACAGACTAACAAAACCGCATACTTTCCCTTTTTTCACATTAGTACACACAATCATAAACACAGTTTTATTCACTGAAAGACAGCAAATACTGACCAAACAATGGCTAATATTGTATCAATTTAATGAATAATATAGAAACAAACGTATCTCCATCTTACAGAAAAGAAATGCCAGCAAAACTACAAAAACAAAATGAACATGTTTTCATAATTGAAAAAGCCAAAGAGAGAAGCATCAACATCTGTTTGATATTAACAGTCTTTTTCAGTGCCACCTGTGGCCAAATCTCCAATGACCATTAATCATCGGAGGGACTACTTTTAGCCGGAGACCTAGATTGACAACCGTGGTCGATGGCACAAAGTAGAACACCGGCCTGACGAAATAGCATGAATGGAGACGACCTCAGGGGAGAGACTTATTTCTTCTTCTTCTCGTCTTTCTTGGCACTATCTCCTGACTCCTTCTCTTTGTCTTTGTCCTTCTCATCCTTTTTCTCTTTGTCGTCCTTTTTCTCTTTCTTGCCGTCCTCTTTTTCTTGCCCCTCTTTTTTCTCCGCGTCTCGGTTTGAGATCTTGTTGTTGATCAGATTGTGCAGGGCAACCACAGAGCGAATGAGGGAGGCCAGGTAGACCACTAACATCTGGTCATTGGTCTTCAGGTAAAAGGCTTTTGTAAACTCCTGCAAAGGTAAAGATGTCAGCATTTTATATATTCTATTTTATAAAAATTGGATTAAGTTATCAAACAATTTTCTACAGTTTATTCCGTTTCATTGTTATGCATATAAAATAATTTAATTTGATAAATATATACATTCTTGACAAGGAGAAATTTGTGCAATAATCTGTATTAACTATGTTTTCTAGTATAACACAATTAGGGTGAATGTGCAAAAACAAGTTTAGTCGAATTTTTAAAAATTCTTTAAATCTGCATTAGTTTGCCCTCTAGAGGATAAAATGCGAATTCCTTCCTAGTTCAATATGTACTTAACACTTGGATTTACTGCCAGGTAAATATTAATTTATTAATTCATTATTTTCTGTACCACAAATGTCAAGTCCCACTAATATAGGTGTAAATATTTGAGAACCCGTTCTCATTTGCAGATATGACTAAAACACAAACAAAACAAGAACAGAAAAACTAGCTTTTATCACACAGCTTAAAATCCTGGAAAACTTACCAGCAAATTTACATCTGGCAAGAGGTTGAAGACGTCCTGCAGCTGGTAAATGATCTGGTGGTTGATTGGAAGTTTCCCTGCTGCTACTCGTTCGAGGTACGAGCGAATATCCAGCAGCTTTGAGTTGAGTCCTTTAAGGCCGTGAACCTGGTTTGTGATGCGCTGAGACAACGTACCAACTGTTGTATCTTTGATATCCCTGGAAAAAGTGCAGCGCAAGTTAAACTGATAATTATGTTCAAAAATCACTTAAAGCTGGAGAGGACATTCTTATTGAAAATAATAATAATAATAATAATGTTAAGTTAACTAAAGATTTCTCAGAGGAACAAATATTAAATAACACAAATGATCTTATAATCTATTCACAAAACCATTTTTTATTTTTGGACCTGTAGCACTTATTTATAAAACTAAAATAGTGGTTATCAATGCAGGGGTTCAAAGTCACCAAGTACCTTAGCAGGTGTTCCACACCCACTTCCTCAGCTTCTTCAGCTCCTATCTCGCTGGTGACATGTTCAAATGTCTTGGACGTTGGAGTGCCATCCTAAAAATGAAGAAAAATTATATAATTATATTATTGTTACATTTGAGCAATACTAGAAGATCTTATTATTGTTAATATGTTAAAATGACCAACTAAAAACAATTTGTATCATAGATTAAGATATAGTTGAGAAGTCATATCAATTACAAATGAATAATTAAAACAAAATGTTTAAAGCAGCACTTCTATCCGTCGTTGACTTACATCATGTATTTCCTCCACAGAAATGTAAGCCTCTGTGGGTAGACCGAGATCTTTAGGCTTCACATCTATAATTACTAAGACCTGGAAGGTTGAACAAAAAAATATAGAAATGTGTTACATAACATCAAAGTAAGTTAATGAACAGTAAAAAGTAAAAACAGTAAAAAAGTGTTATAAATGACAGTGGTTTTAGGTACTAAATAAAATGGTTTCCTGTTCACCAAACTGCCATATAAAAGCTTGTACAACAGGTCTGTAATCTGCATCTGTCAACTAAAAGATTAAACTCAGTAGGCCATACTACTACGTCGGTGGTAAAACTAATTGCTGTTTTAAAGTTAGCCTGCAGCAGCAGCATGAAATGTAGCATGCAGTAGCTTGAAACTACAGTAACAAAAAAAAAATTCATTGTTGGCCTGTTGCCTGGATGATGGTTTTCTTCAACTGTTGTTGCCCCTCCCATACCGCTGTCTGTACAGTTAACCTAAGTGTAACATAGTGTATTACAGAGTGCGAACCCAAAGCTTCATGCTAGCATATTGAGATATTAGCTTGAGCTGAGAGTGACTGTAAGCGTCCTCTCCCGTTGTCCGACACGGAACGCATTTGCAAAATGATCCGCTGCAAAACCAGAAAATTGTTTGTCAGCCAGCCTGTCATTGGTCAGGGCTGATCCTGCTCAAAATTTGACAGCAACTCCAATCACTGGTTGTTTGATCGGTACATCTCTTAATATTTGTATTTTCGAGAGAAATAGAAAGAAGTCATACTGAATTGGTACAGTACTGCTTGATGAGCTCATTGATGGCAATGTCATTCTTGTGTAGCTTGGGTCCTGTGTGGTACCATCCTACTATCCTTTCCCTGGCTGGAAAAGCACAACAGGGTAATTTACAAGCATTATATTTTAATAACGTTCACAACAGTGTAAAAAAAACAAAACCAAAATGCACTTTTTTTTAATATGATCAGTGACCTGCTCCACTTAATTAACATCAATACATATTAACTTTTTGCACATAATCTCATCATGTTGAGACAAAGGTTAAAATGTTGTTAAAAAAAACAGTGAATGATTTAGTTCCTGTCCATCAAAAAGAAAAAAGGACTAGAACAGTTTTTGTCAAAATTTAAACAATTCTCTTATCTTCATTTGTTGACTCAAATATAACCAATGGTTACAGGTAATAAAGTGCAAAATCTAAATAAGAGAAAAAGACTAGGTGCCATATATGTAGAATTATGTTTAACAGTTTCTTTATTTTTAAAAACGGCACTAGTTGTAATGTGTTTGGTCATGATGAGATTGTCTTTTGATGTGGTTCAAAAGCAGTCGTAGCATTTGTGCCTTTGCCTCCATACTCCATTATTGATGATGAAATTTCAGATAACTTGTGAAATATTTTTTGCCTTGTCCCGAAACCTGTGCATAATGTTCATTGGCAATTGCAATTGTTTCATCTTCCTCCAACACCACCGAAAACTCATATTGGTGAATTTTGAGATATTTGCTGTTATAATAAGGGATATTGCTTAATTATTGGAGTCATTGCAAATGTTGAATGAGTTAAGCGTAGGCAGTAACTCACCATTTACTTTTTTGAACATGCCATACATGTTCTCCAAGTAGTCATGGTCCAGGAACCACACTGAATCATCTCTGTCATCCTCATCAAATGGCACTGCAAAGGAAAAACAGTGGCTTTAACATCATTTTTCAGAGAAGTGTTTACAGATGGGAAAAATTGTATTGTCATTCCAAAACACATTGTCTCACACAAGCATATAGGGTTTTTGTCTGTTGTCACTCTGCAGCAAAAAGAGAACTGCATCTGACAAAAAAAGAACTGCATCTGACAAAATAAATATTTATCATTGAAGTCTCTGAAAGTAGACTTTTATAGTGACCTGAGTAATAAATGATTCACCCATTCTGTAAGCTTAAGTAAATTCCATACTATGGCAATAATTAGTGGTATCTTTGCATTACTAACGATAACCCAATTTATAACTTTCTATAACGAGCTATTAACATATACAGTATGTATTTAATATTGAATGTATATTTTCTTCAGATGCAGTTGGTCTTTTGGTCCCAAAAACGATACTCACCTGCGAAACTGTTCGAAACATCGAGAACTTTCTTATGCCACGATCCCAACAAAACACCGACCACTCGTTTTTGATTACCGACTTTTCCTATCCTGAAAAAAATGACAATGGAGACAAAACACAGCACCATGATTTGAGAGGTTATCACAAAGTAAAGAGTCATGGTGCTATGGGAAGCTAATGGTTAGCCCTATCAGTTACCGGCCTATGACAAATGAATGGATGACAGTTTTGTCAAAAGAATATATCAATACTTACAAATCATATTGTAACACAATTTCTTAGCTATGGCTGGTAGGGTAACGGACTTAATTGATTTCACTTGGCTACATTATCCACTTTCAAGGTGGCTCTGACTCAGCAGGGCTAACATTTAGCCTAGCTTAGCGCAGTTGGTCTTTGATTCTATTTAGCTGCAAACGCAGATCAAATATAATCACAATAATTTCAAACACTGACCTGTTAAAGTGGTCAACGACGCTGAGTAACACCAGGGGATGAACGACCACGTTTTCCACCGCTAACTCCGGCATTTCTGCAATAAAAATAAACGGGAGACAACACACTAGTGTGGCAACCGCGACTCTGCGTTCCGTCTGATGTCACTTCCGTCTTGCTTTTGTCCGGTCAACCGCTTCTAAAAACGTAGTTTCAAAAAAATAAAAATTAATTATTATATAGTTTTTATTTGTGTTTATGGACGAATGTGACAAAAACAATAGTGGATACCAATAATTGTTACTAGATAATAATTGTCAAAATATACAAGGCAAGGCAATTCATTGAAATGTAGCTAAGATGTTAATCAAATTTATGACATTGCCAAAATATGGTTTGCTCACTTGAAGTTACATTTTACCAGCGGAGGACAGGATCTTGGTAATAACGTACTTGCACATCAGTAAGGTCTCTCTATAACTGGTTTTCTGTTGGTAATTATTTTCCTTGTAAATGTGTATGTGTTTTATCGTTAGGTATCAGATTGCAGATAATACAACTATAGAAAAACCCACAGATTTTCTATATGCACCTTTATGCATCAACGTGAAAGAGGTAGAGTGGGGGCAAAGGCGCCCAGGATCACTCTACTTCCCTTTCACATGATATGTGATGCTTTGAACTGTTTGAAACAACCTATGTGTCCTGTTCCTTTTTTTTTAATATTCATTCATTTATTCTCATTTGCTTGATATTTTTAATGGAAGTAAACTATAAACCCTATTTGTGAAAAATTGTTACTTTTACACCAGCCTATAATGTTTGAACAGTACTGTCTATATTTCTGTTTGGCAGATTTTTTTGTAGTTCGCTATATCGCGATATTTTACGGTAAATAAAAAAAAAAATATTTCCAATATCTACGTGAAAAAAAACTCATGTATAGTACGTACGAGTCAATGAGATTTGGGTTTGGAAATCTACTTATCCACCAGCAGGGGGTAGTCACCTTCTTTGTAAAGATGGCCGATGGCTTCATATGGAAGGACACGATTTCTTTTTATTTAGATGGCAAAGTCTCACCTCATCTTATCAGACTGAAGAGACCCTTGTCCTCTTTTATACTGATGTGACAGTTTTTGGCGACAAGTCAAATTTCCTGTCCCTTCACTACTGTAAATAATTTAATGAAGTCTTCAAACATGTAAGTCACACATGAACATACAGTATAAAATTACTGGTCAGTAGGACAAACGTGAATAGGTTTGTATGAACTTAAAGTCTATTTAAGTCAGTGGTCCCCAACCCCTGGGCCGCTGACCAGCACCGGTCCGTAGGTCAATTAGTATCGGTCCGCACAGAAAGAATGCATAACTTACATTTCCGTTTTATTTATGATCTGATTCTGAACAATGTTTTATTTTGAAAAATTACCAGATTCTCTTCACCAAATCTGTCTATGACTCACACTTGATAGAAGCCAAGATGATTGCCTTGGTCACATGTCTTACCTATATCTGCTACCTTCTTGAAAGGTCTGCACCGGCTAGTAACACCGCTAGATTGAAACCCCCATGCAAAAAAAAAAAAAAGATGCATACAAAAACAATACTTTAATGTGAATCTCCAATAGAATGTACAGCAATATTTATGTTAATAAATAACTCACTAATTATACACCACAAATAATACATGACAGAGTGAAACAATTATGGACAACATTAGAGTTGTTTGTAGACCTAACGCTGACTGAGTAGGTCATGCACAAGGGTCAGGAGGAAGCTACCTGAGTTGACAGTTAACAATTCAGGCTGTGGCAGAGAAAGTACAGCAACTACTACAATGTCTTCTGAAAAAGGAAACAGCAGCTGTGTAGAGGACAGACGTGAATGGAAAGTGGGAGACAGAAAACTTAACAGGCGCTGTGGGGAGAGGTGACAGTTGACAGGTGAGAGCAGCTCCAAAATAAAACAGCATTAGCATGAATCTCATTGGTGGAGGAGCAGGTCTGTGAAGGTTCTCAGTTAATCAGGTCCTTTAATCCATAGAGGTTTTAAAGTAGGCAATTGGTCTAAAAACCAATTACCTCATCATCTAAAACCCTCCACTTCAGACTACAGAAAAATCCTTGTATTTCGCCTGTCAAAGAAGACGGATATTTCTGGTGTTGGTTTTTTGCTTTTTCGTAACAAAAAGCCATGTGATGAGGTTTTATCCACACAAAAAAAAAAGGATATTCCAACACTACAGGGAGTACAGTCCTTCTGTCATTGGAGAGGGGCCTCTAACAACAACATTGTTATTCTGACCAGCAGTAGTCAAACATATGGCTTCCCACAAGAAATGAATAAACATACAAACAATTGTGTTCATCACAAGAAAAAAAAATAGCAATATAAAAATTAAATAACCTCCATCATAAAGGCTTTATCTTTCAAGTTGCTATCAGACATGCAGTGAACTCCAGAGATTGTCTCCATATTGCCCTAAGGCAACCTGCATCAACACAAATGTCTATCAAAGTTTCCTATGCCACCCATTTAACCTCCATTGAACCTGCAAGTTTCCTGATTCCTACCTACATTTTCACCTTAAAGCTCAGAAAAAATGACTTTCAGACATCAACACATAACCCACTCCATAAAAATGAATCACTGCTGTCATGTGCCAAGGGCAATTCCTGTAGGTAATTTAAAGTTCAGTTCTACAAAATGGCCACACAGTACGGCACGGTACTCAGTAAACAGTACTACATTGCATCACAAAAAGAAGGTCAAGTATTCCCTTAAATGTCAAATTCAAGTACATTCTATCAAGTATAAGGCCTGAGGTGTTCCACGATGTCTTGACTCATTGTACCTTCTCTAAGCTTTGACTCAGTAAGTGAACACTGCATACCCGCTGTCCATAGAAGCTCGAAGTCTGTGCCACGTAATTAAATCAGATTGTATATAAATTGATGTGACACATATATAAATGGTTAGAGAAGTCCTCGAAGCTAACTAAGAGGGTATCACACTATAGAGCAGGCATGGTGGGGCCAGATGAGGCCCATTCAGCTTTTTAACCCGGCCCGCCAAACCTTTCCAAATTATATGATTTCATCATCTTCATACTTCTGCCTTTTCCCTGCAATAACGATAAAAGCATTTTAGCATTTTAGCCTTTATGCATGAATTTGTATGACATGTCATCTATCTTAGTTCACACAAACGCTCCATCTATCTGCTCCTGACCCAGCCACCCTGTTCAATTTTAGGACAATTGTGGCCCACAAGTCAAAACACCTGCCCATGCCTGCTATAGAGGCTCGATGGATTGTTGGTATCATGGCAAACCAGGCAGCTGATCAATTCCATATGTAACCGGTCAGATAGGACAAATGATTGGCTGGCAACTCCTAAAAGCACATGCACTTCTCTGGATCTTCTCCCTATGCCACCTTCGCCGTATCCTCCTGAGGGTCTGCTACAGAGGTCGCCTTCAGGGTGTGTCAACTGACTTGTCCTCTGCCCCAGTGAATGTTGGGCAGTGTCAAACACCTCCTGAAGTGCCCCAGCTGGTCCTGCAGCCTCTCCCACTCCTCTCTCACTTTCTGCCTCTGACTGACCAGGTCCTGGTAAAAAAAAAGAAAATTAGAGGTTACAGAAACCAAAACTGTCTGTTGGTCACGAGAAAGAGATGCCAGAGAGATGACAGATGTGACTGTACTGTTGATACTTACACCCATGGTCAGGGAAAGCTGCTCGGCAGTTCTGGTCAGATCATAGTTTTGTGCTTCCAGCTGTTTGCACTGACTGTGAAGTACCTGCCTCTCTATATTCCACTCTAAAAAGAAAGAAAATGTGATGATAAGAATAGATCAGTGACCATCCAGATGTGAGTTTTTTTTGTAATGACCTGAGCATCATATACACATAATCAAGCTACTGTATCAAACAGTATTGTCTCAAGGCAAAACCTTTATATATCTTAGCAGTGTTTTTGCCAGGCTTGTGGTTCCAAGGTGTAGCGGATAGCACGCCTGCCTGGAGAACAAAGTCCTGGGTTTGATTATTTATTATTTATTTAGCCACAAATTCAAAGTGGTGACAGGCCACAGCTGCTTTATGGACATAGTGGAAAACCAACACTGGCTGTGTTTAGTTAGACTGAGGAAAAAACCTTTGAGTTTGTACCATCTTGTGTGGCTTGTTTTGTTGGCTTGAAAGCTGGTCTTAAACTATAAACTAGTCTTTTTCAACCTTGGAGTCACCTGGAATTCAAATAGAGTTGCCTGATATGTGTAATTGATAAAAACAATGGTATAATGTTTTTCTTTTGAATTCAAATTAAATACAGCATATAAACAAAATCTAATGTGGTACATCTTGAATGACAGCTGCGATCAGAGTAAAAGCTTGCCTTAATGAACATGCAATCAGGGAAAATAGTTTGTCACTCTGGGCCAGAAATTTGTGATGTCGAAATGGGGTCACAAGCCAAGAGATGTAGGGAACTACTGCTATAGATACATTAGCTGGACTTTTGCAAATATGCCTTTTAGACTACTACTGACAAATACACTTATAGTATATCACTGACACAGTAAAGTAACTGATATAAATTAAAAAAAAATGTTGTTTGTGTTTCTTATAATCTAGTGTGGGGATCCTTGATATTTGAAAAAAAACATAGTTAATCATTTTAACTCTGCACGACTTACCATTTACATGCTCGTGATAGGCCTCGAAAATAGCCTCAATACCCTTCCACCTTCTCTGATCTTCTTCCTCCTGTGTCTCATCTTCCTCATCATCCTCTTCTTCTTCCATATCCTGTCCAGATTCCTCCATGTCTCCATTATTGTTTTTGCTCAATGCTGCAGAGTCACTGTTGGCTACGGACGAATGCAAGCCATAGCCATTGACATGTGTACGCTGAAGGTCCTGGTTATGATTGAATTTCTTCAGGTGAGAGATGTTTTTAAGCTCCTCCTCCAAGCCAGTGTCAGGAACACGATTAAAGATTCCTAAAAACAAGGAGTCATCTTTAACATGCTGTACACTGACAGTAATACTTTTTTCCACTAAATCTAAAAAAAAGCATTGCATGTGTTAAATAGTAATTAGGAATAATTTATGAAAATTTTAAAACACTAACATTAATTGTGATTAATCATGATAAATTATAACCACGATTATTCACAATTAACTATATACATTGCACGTTCTTGTCGTTACTGTAACGCACCATAGAAGGTAACACAACAAAAGAAACCCCGTGTTTTTTAAAGTTAATCTGGCAGTGTTGTTTATCTGTCTGTACAGTATGTTTATAGTCTCATTCCTGTGAGAATCCATTGCAAAAGTAAAAATGACGCTCTCTGCTCCCTGAATGTAAATAACTGCACCGGTCTCACAAATGTGTTGCAGTATAAATATCTTCTCTAACAGGAACTACAGACTAAATAATTGAGCAATTCTGTGTCACTAGACAGTTTACGTTTTCACCACAAGATGGCAGGCAGATATCAACGACCGTAATGGGAACTTTTTGTGGAACAGAGAGATGCTTTTGAGTGTCTTACCATTCTTGGTCTGTTTCTTTTGTGTGGACTTCAACACAGCCTGGTGAAAGTGCTGAGCAAAGACTTCAGGTGTGCACCTCTCCCAGGGCTGATTACTTCCAGTCTGCAACAGTTTGAGCTCCTCATTCTTAGTCCTGTTTTGGTGCTTCCTATTTGGCAGCACCTCCATAATTTCAGCCTTATTATTGGAGACTAGTGGTGGTGGAACTCTGGTCACCTGTTCAGTTTTTTTCATGTATGGAGGAGAAGGGCTGGGAGACTCTGGGTACATATGTCTGTTTGTTCGACAAGAGGAGGAGCCTCCTAAAAACAAGACACAGATCATTAGGGAAGACTGTTCATCTCCAGATTAAAACATTCATGTGCGAGTGGTTTCCTCACCAGTTGAGGGAACGGGAGAAATGGTACATGAAGATGAAGGGTTGTATCTGAGAGTGTCCAAAGTCACTGTCTTTTTTTTAATGGCCCTCAGAAGTTCTTCGACCTTTTGTTTGTCTGAAGACATAACGACAGAATGCAGTCATCAGAACAATAACAAATATTGACTAAGTGTAGATCAGTCAAACCAAGTACAGAATTAAAGCTTGTCAATCTCAAATATTTTCAGTTTCACCTAAAATATCGAGGATTAACACAGATGTCGTCTCACACTTTTTCCTTAAACAGTGTTTATCTCAGTTGCAGTGGTAGTGTAGCGGTTTTCACGCCTGCCTTACACATTTGTCTCACAAATGAAAGAAGGGTTCGAGCCTCAGAGAAACCATATACTTAATCACGCCTGCTGCAAGGTTGCAAAGACAAACTGTGAATTTTCCCAAATTAGATCTTAATTTTATACAGCATATTATGCCATTGAAATAATATAATTGGTTGCAGTTAGCAAATCCCTATGTTAAAATAATTATTATTCCAATGAAGGACGAACAAAAGACTTCTTAATGCGTCCACCCAATCTGAACATTTATGTTGCTAGGCCTGAGACATAGGAAATCCCTGCAACAACCCGCTCTCCACATTTCCCCTGAATTAACTTGTTTGATATTTTTCGCCACATCCTTCTAAATCGGATAATTTAGTGCATTTCCACATACAATCACAAAAAACCCACCTAAGAATATATGATTAATAAACAGGTCGTTACCTCTGCGCTGCTGTGGGCTCACATGGGAAAGGTTAAACTGAAGCAGGAAGTCCTTTTTCTCCTCCAGTTTTGGGGTGCTGTCCATCTGCTCAGCTGAATATGGGGTACTTAAGGTAGGGCTTCGTGTTGACGGTAGAGCGGTCTTGCTCTGACTGCGCACCGCTGGAGGGGAGGGGCTTCGCTCTCTTATCATCCTCCTTCTCTTCCTTCTCTTCTGTGCTAACAGTTCATTGCAGTGGTCCAGTGTGGTCAGACCACACGCTCGCAAAAAGTCCACTTTCTAAGGAGAGATCAATGGACATGGTCATTACCACTCTGAGGACAACATACACTAAATCCTAATAATAAAAGCACGTGTGGACCGTATTCATGTACCTCAGACGATGCGTCCAGTTTGAGTGGGGGCTGTTCTGTCACTCTCTTCAAGTGAGCTTTCACTTCTTCCTCATCACTTTCATCGTATGACTCGTTTAAGTCATAGAAATAACCTGAAAGAGGCAGACAGAGACAGGGATTCCCTTATCGTGGGCTGACTTTTAACACAACTTATCGTTTTCTGTTCTCATCCTCTAAATTCTTTCTCACCTCCCTCTCTGGCTTCCCTCTTCCTCCTCTCCTCCAAGTCCAGTTTGCTGAGCAGCCGACGGTACTGCTGGGAAACCTCATCATACACCATCATGCTACTCGAAGCACGACTCCGCTGCTTCGTCACAGAAGGTGACGAGGCTTCCTGGCGCTGTCCTCCTCTTAAGTCATTTTTAGCAGACAGCGATCTGCGATGGAGGTTATTCAAGTGATGTTGGTGGTTGAGGCTCTTGACGGCACCATCCTCCTCAGATCTAGTCCAGGATTCCAGTGGTCCTGATCCCCTCAATGAAGGGAGTCCATCTCCTCTCTTTCTGCCCCTGTTGTCCAGCTTCTCCCAGCAGCTGAAGGAGGGATTCTCAGCTCTTGTCAGTCCTGGAGGGGGCCTGGATGGTGGGTTAGGAGGGTGAAGTTTCCTGCATGAGTTTGTAGGCGTATCAACGAGCGAAGCTGGGTTCCACAGAGTAGTAGAGGGAGGAAGATGGTAATGACCTCTGGGGGAGATAAGAGGAGGTGGTGCACCGAGGGTGGAGGGTACATCTTTGTTTCCTTGGCTGTGATGAACTGGGGTGGCTCTGTTTAGAAAGAATACAGAGAGACTTTACAACAATCTCAAACCAAAATCCCTTCTAATGATTCACTGCAATGTTAAAGACTGATCCAACTGGTCATATGGTCCATGAAGATGTATTTTATAAAAATGAACAGATATAAAAGCACATTTAAAAGGAAAATAATAGAGACATTTGATAGTAAGGTGCAGCGGTTTGTATTGTATTGCAAACTCATCTACCTTGCCCTGGTTTACAGTCCATACATCAATTGATGAAATAGAAAAATAGGATCTAAAATAAGTACATCAGCAGAGAAGTAGTCAGTTAAATAATGGACATTCTCACCTGTGGACGTCTCTCTTTGCATCCATCCCATTCCCCGCTGGTTTGAAGCTCACCGCCAGTTGACCCTCCCTCTCCTGCCCTCGCCCTTGTTGCTGTGGTAACCAGGTCTCTTCACTTTTCACTCTTTGAGACGCCATGGAGGCAGCCACATGGATCACTCCATCAGGGACAGCAGCAGCAGAGGCACTGTGCTTCTCCAGGAGTGAAGGCACAAGACTGGGCACGACGTGTGCCACCGAAGTCCTGGAGGAGTGATGGCCTGCCTGCAGCGGCTGATGCTTAGGGGCCGGGAACGGTGGGCGGTCTGAATTCTTAGGTTTATCTGTTGATAATGATAAAAACAATAAAATGGTTGCTGTCATGTAAGAATAAACATATTTATAGACAATAGCTTAGAATATAAATGGGAATGTGTTAGCAGGTGTAAATTCCTGAAATATTCAGTTTATTTATGTACGAAAAAAGGAAATACATTTGTGGAAGTGTGCCATGTTCTTTTGTTCTAAAGCACATATACCCATCTCCAAGCCCCCTTGCGGCCCCCACTTTAAGAACCCCTGGTATAAAGTCCATACTAATGTTTACTGGTTTGATTAAATGCAGTTGTTCTGCATGTGTATAATATATTCGTGCCGATTTTTTATTTGTTTTATTTTTACAGTCTATTTCCTTACGGATCGCTGGTAGCTTTGTTTACCTAGATGAGATCGTACACAGTATACTATTGGCTAATACAATGCGTACTTAGTGTGCTATTGGCTAATTGAGCATGCTCTTCTGTTCCTCACTCTGATTGGCTCATGCATCGTAACATCTCTCAGCATCTCCCCTTGTCTGTTGGCCACTATCTCGTCCACTTTGCTCTGCGTCGCCATTCTACAAATCTACTGTGTATATAACTGTGTGGGGAAGGGTAACGCCGTCTAGGGTTCGTAAAGAGTATATATATATTTTCCTGTTTCACTGTGGGTCTTGGAATGCAACTACCGCGATAGGACACGGATCACAGTACAACTGGAATTGTGATTACATGAAGAATAGGATTAAGGATTATTAGAGCTGTGAAGCATGGTTTTGTACAGCGTTACAAATGAGCAGAAGTCAGTACAGCTGCACAAACCTATGTGCCTGCACCTATTGGTGTGTAAGTACCCAGTCTGTTCGCAGTCAGTCTGTCCCCTGGCTTTGTCCTGTCCTCTGGTGGTGCTCTTCGAGTCTGCAGCTCGGCCAGGTAGTGGCTCTCCACCGCTCTGACCATCTGCTGCTGTCTCTCCCTCTGCCGCTCCTTCTGTCTGTCCAGTTCCCTGTCCTGTTCTCTCTCCCTCTCCCAGGCCCTCTCTCTCTCTTGTTCTAGACCAGCCTCACGCTTTCTTTTTAACTCTCGTTCACGCTCCTGCTCTCTCTCCCGCTGGCAGAGCTCATTCTGCATCTGTAGCCTAGGGGAAAAAGTAGACAAGCATGTGTACACAACACTCAAATAAGAGGAGAATGAGAGAGACGCATCACCTAAAAAGAAGTGCATAGTAACTGCACACTGGTCATGCACACACACAAACATTACTGCTTTAGCACACACATATACACACAGTAATGAGCAATAATCAATTACATATACACTAACTCACAGGATATACCAATGCTGTTACAGAAGTAGAATATAAATACAGAAAGAAAGGAAGAATAAAGGAAAGAAAGGAAGGAAAATAATTCATTCATTCATCTCACCTCTCAGCCAGTGCTGTGTGCTTCAGTTCCCCTATGTAGTGGCTTCCAGGGAGATGCAGGTGAAGAGCAGAGGGGTGAAGAGGAGGGAAGGCGCCCCCTGCAGGTCCAGAGTAGAACTGTGACCGTAGCGCAGAAAGACATAGGGACTCCTCAATCCTATAGGGCAGACACAGAGGCAGACCCATCAGATAGTGACCAGTACTACTACTGCCACTACTACTATCACTACTTCTACTACTACTACTTATACTACTACTACTACTAGGACAAATTGTTCTGCTGTGCTGGGCCCAGGGTAGACAGCAGTCCATAACAGAGCTTGTTAAATTAAGGCAGTGTTTCTTAATTATTTTCTTTCACGCCCCCCTTGGGGACAGAAATGTTTTCACGCCCCACCAACCCACACCCCGCAAATTAAAATACTATTAAGAACCTAATAACATGCATATTTCATCTATTTTTTATCTTTTATCTGAGTTGCTGCCACCTAGTGACTGAAGACTTGTTATCATTCATGCATTACAGCAGTGGTACACTTATGTCCACGTGTACCATATTCCTTAGGTAGCCCCTCACACCTCCTCGGCACCTCACGCGCCCCTTCAGGGGGGCCCGCCCCACTATTTGAGAAGTACTGAATTAAAGAAATGATCTGGGCGTGAGGGGGCCCATCTAAGATTATGTCCTGAACCACGGCATCTTTACACCTGATTACCAACTATCCTATGTATTGAAGGTAAAAGGTAAAATCAGTTTTTTTTATAAAATACATCAAAGTTGTTTAATTGACATACAAATAAAATTACACAGCAAGTTACACAGCAGAAGATCTGATGGTGTCGTAGCTACCTTGGTAAGGACATAGGGTGGTGCAGGTAGGCTGGATGGTAGTAAGCTGAAGCAGCAGCGGCATAAGCAGTGGCAGCAGCAGGGTCAAGACTCAGTGGTAAAGAGGTCAATCGAAGGTCATCTGATGTGGCGAACGGCCGCAGCGTTCTCAGGTATTCCTCTGGGACAGCCCCCGAGGAAACCATGGGGTGCATCTGCCCTGGCAAACTGCTGAAACGGGCAAAGTGTTACATGTCACATTGGCTCTAATTATATGCACACGAGCTAAAAATATCTAATGCGACGTCAGAAGAGTTCTGCATCGGGAGGATTCAGGGTTTATTTATTCAGTTATTTTGATAGTTTATCCTGTTGGGGTCAGAGAGAGAGAGAGGAGACAAGCGTAGCTGGCATTGCACGAGATGCAGAGGACACCTCGGACAGGTTGCCAGCTTGTCACAAAGGACACATACAGAGACAAACGATCATTCTTTCTCTTACATCCAAACCAATGGCTAATTAAAGGCCACTACAAGATACAGTGTATCTACAGCACATACAGTATAACAGTTTAAAACTGTAAGACCTAATCTGGTTGTAGTTTTGTTTTTGTGATGCCTGTATAAATGATAATTTGCTAAAATATAACCTTTCAATCTGAGAATCGTAAAGAAACATTTCCTTTCTTCCGTGAACTTAGAGATAGAGAGGTGTAGATGTCTGTAAACTAGATTTGTTGGCTAAGTATTATTGGAGATATCTCTTACGCTCCATCTCTATCTCTGTGTCGGTGCAATTCAACTTTGGGAGCACTTACCTGAGGCTCTGTGTTCTCGGGTCTTGCATGATGGAACTAGAGGCGAGGTGAAATGTTTGAGTCAGCGGTTGAGGTGAATAAGTAACTAGATTCCTTGTTTCCTGTTGTGGATGGGAGTACTCCACACCGACTCGCTTCCGGTGGAGTGCCTGCACACTGGGTTCAACCTGGCATGGAGACAGTGATACATTCATGTGTTCAGTATGTCCTTGTCCTATTGCCGGAGAACTAGTACTGTTGTATTATTGGTTTTAAAGAATCCAGAAGACACACACATGACCAAAAAATGCAACTATGAAGCAACAAGTTAAATAATTGTTTTCGCAAAGGCAATTTACAAAGTTGACCCGGTCCATTCATTTTGCTGTAGATTTTAATTATATGTTAAGATGAATGATATTAATATAGGCAGTTAAGGAAAACTAAACCTTATGTAAGCTTTAAGGTGGCACCTCTTTAAGGTGGCAGGGGAGCTGAAATTGTCCAATTTATGTCAGTAATCTCTATAATCATTATACTTCTGCCTTTTCCCTGCAATGTCCGCATTACCCCAATAGATGGGCTAACCAGGGGCTAAAAGCATTTTTGCATTTTAACCATTATGTCACATGTAATTTGTCTTAATTAATACAAACGCTCCATTTATCTACTACCGACGTAGTAGCAATTTTCTGACCCATTGTGGCCTACAAGTCAAAAAATTTGCCCACGTCTGGCGTGATGCCTAAAAAGCCTAAATACAGCCAGATTTTAGTAAATGTGAGGGTAGACAAAACCTGCTGCCTTCTGTGCACACAAAAATATTTTTCCTGCCGTCCTTAGTCTATAATCATAATCACATACAGTCATATTATTTATGTATATCACTGATTTTGCTGTCTGCACTCAAAATTACACAAACTCGGAACTCACACAAACTGAAGCCCCTTTTCTTGTCATTCTTACTTAAACATCATTTATTTCATTAACATCCTATTCTGTACTTTCCTACTTCCTCCACTCTCCTGTTTTTCTCTCTTGAATGGGAGCAGCAGGCAGACAGAGCTACAGAGTTCTCTTTGTGATGGGGAGAAAGGCAGCTCTGATCCAGGGGAAGTGAGTACTGTGAGGCCAGACCTCTGGATTGTGCGAGGGGCCCAGATCCTCGCCTCGACTTAAAGTCACACACCCTAAAGAAGACACATCCACAAACACACACACACACACACTCACATAGCCGTAGCTCCCTTTCACATTCTAGGCCTTTTGTGGCAATGGGTCAAGTACCCACACATGCGCTCACACACACTCAGCAGG